CAAATATGTCACAATTTTTCACAATTATTACGTGTATGTTAGACTTCAACTTGTTCGATTTCCGCAAGTGTATTAAAAGTTGGAAAACTTACGTAAAGATTTCAAAGAGCGACTATTGACGATTTTTTATAGTTTTGTAAAACGTCTCCTTAAAATTGCCGTAGTCGGCCATATATTCAGTCTCAATTAATTTGCAGATATCTAATCCGCATTCTGCTTCTTTAGCATTCAAGCAGTATTTTTAGATTTTAAACCCTCCTAACTTTGAGTTATAATTTTTGTTTATTATACAGCACAACCATATTAAAAGTGTCGAAGGACCGCTGTTTGAATAAAAAACGTTCAAGTATGTGAAGAATTGGTTTGGTTTGTTAAATGACGTCACTCCTACAGAATTGTTAAAACAACTTATTTTTATTACCAGATACATCATAGCAAAGATGCCGATAATAACACACACAAATCTACAACGCGTCTTCGTGACGGTGGGTATTTGAATACGTAGTACACCAAGACACACAACAAGTCGGGAGGTTGAAAGGCCATCTGCCATTTTGGGATATCTAGTGTTTTTATGGTGTTGTCTGATTAATCCTTCCAAATAGAGTACAACAGAGAGATTATCAACCAAATGTTTTATAATGGACGACATCGTCCATCAATAACACAGTTCACGGATGACGAATCAATTGAGTAATTTTTCTCCTGAGAAAGGTAAGTAGGATCTGATGCATAGGGTGTTGCCACTGTTAAACGGAGCTTTTAATAGGCTCTGTAACAATCGAAATGTACAGTTATTACTTCAACATTTTATCTGTTGTTTATCTAAACTACTATGCAATATTGCTCTTAAATACTTTGCAAAGTGCGACATTAGGTGTTTTTATATGGCTAGATGGCCACACGGTAGGCGTGTTTCCCTGCCTTCTTAGTAACGAAGTATGTTTATATTGACCCTTATCAGCCTTGGCAAGTATGCGATCTTTTATTCAAAGTATTCATATCTACCTAGCTTATTTCATTCTGCCACTCATTGAGATAAATCCTAATAATTGTTTTTGTATTTTCCTTTTAGTTCAGTTGCCAAGCGGGGAAAATGAATTTGTTCACTTACTAGGTAGTTTTCCCTTCTAACTTGCTTATAATGTTATTCTTGATCATATTAATAGAATAAATGACGAACATATTGTAAATATCGTTATGAAAAGGTTTTTGTTGGTGTGTTAAAGAAAAGGGGTATTTCAATTTGACAGTTAAGATAAACTCACTAAGTACATTAAAGTCATTACAATAAGTTTTGACATATACAGGTTTGAGGATACAGGAAACACACTCCCCATAGCTGTTGGTAACTTTATGAATTTTCATGAATATAGTTGTGCATTAGTTTGAATTTTTAAATGCATCAAGTTGAAGTTATTTCAAAATGTTAGGTTGACTTTTGGTTCCAGATAAATGCCGTAACAACATATTTATTCAGTGTTACCGCTCTGAAATCCGTTCAATTTTTAATATTACAAATTGACTAGCAAATGGATGGATATATCATACTAAATATATATTACTCCCATTCTAGATTCCATACTTAATTAAACCAATACAAAATCTTATAATTATTTATTGTTTTTTTTCCTCATCAGTTTTTCTAAATATTCGAATACATATCAAAGACATTTCTATTGCAAGGGGTAAAGATTGATAAGTTTAATGTATTTTACTAAATGTTGATTATTATCTTAATTCCAATATCTAAGATATAGAACAAATTTCAGTCTCAGAATTGAAATACAATAGAAATCTATTGCAAACTTGATCAGGCAAAAAAAAATCCAATTTAGGGACGATTCTGTTTTATGCAGGTTTCTAATTTATGACCTTTGTAATAGTATTTCCATCTGAAACTAAGTAAGATGCATGACTTAATTTATACTTAACATTGCTTTAGTAAGTATTTATGTTATGGTTATTGGCGATGGAAATGCCAATAAATTAATTATAACATTCTCATTGACAGCATTGAGTTTTCTCTTGCTTCAGAGTTGACCTTTCGATCTAAGGTTAGTTTTATATTGTTTGTTTATTCAAGCAATTAATGTGGTTCTGAGGCTCAAAAAAGATTCCTCTACCCTCATGGACTAGTAGCTGCAGTTGGACTGTTGCTTACTCTAGAAAAATGAGTCACAAGCACTATGCACTTTCTGCTCCCCATTGTGTCCGCATTGAGAGCCCTTGGTTTTGGTCACTGCGAGTTATGATTTTCAAACCGGCAGGTGAGATGTGCAATAGTAACCCAATCTTCGTGCTTAACTTTCCCGGCTCAGAGAACTTCAGGAGGAGAGAAATTCCATATGAATAAGCCAAGAAGGTGACAGTGACCGACAGTTCTTCACTCGGACAGCTAAACTCCTCTCCACTGGTTCAAGCTACTAACTCCTAATCGCGTTGTACTTGGATTAGAGAATTTGAATGCTTGCTGATGCATTCTTTCGTCTCATAGTTACATCTCTCGCGTTTCCTTAGTTGCCAATTCACAGATTCTGCTTCTCTAGTAAAGGATTTGTTCTTCCGATGTAAGGACATGAAAAACTGACATCGTTTCAGTCTGGACTACCGTCCTGTTTTACTGCTCTCTAACTGCCTATGCATTTAATTCCTTCAGGGGGGGGGGGGGGGGGGGGGGGGGGAGCGCGAGACATTTTTTAGGTTAACGACGCCATCATCTACTTCAGGTTCCAGTTTAACAAATTTTGCTATTATTGTATCATAGGTAATAACTTAAACATTTTTACACTAAGGAAATAAACAGAATTGTGAGAATCATCAACAATCATATGTATGTAGTATGAAATCAAAAAAGTTATCATTTAAATAACAATGCTATACTCTAATATAAATACGTTGTTATTTTAATCTAGCACCTTTAGGGATTTTTTTTTCTGTTCTTTTGTATTTTGTAAATCTCGTGAGTCTAGAAGCACAAACAGCTAATAACATGTTCAAACGGCATCTACTCCTCCTCTTCTCTTCAAATAAGATATATTACCTTGTCTACATGAGATTATGCTTGTATGTTTCGTACACATTGTTTGCATACTGAGTGTCCTAACAAGGTGTAGTATTGAGTCAGTGCTGGAGTTGATGAAATATTCAAAGGGGTCAATGATGAACAGAAGGGTCAGTACACAACAAGTACCAGGTGGACTAATATTTTAATCAGAATATAGGTTCATCTAATAGGAAAAAATATTATTGAAGTTGATTGTTGTGGATCAGAGAGAGGTGGAGGGCTTCTGGAAACTTCAACCTGACAGAGACAATAATGATATAAAAATAGATAGCCTTTACTAATTTTCTATGACTAATGAGTCATTTTAATCTATCAATTTCAAATTTTAAATATTAACTATAAGTCAACAAATAAAAAATATATATTAATCAAAAAATATTCGTCTTAAAATAATATTATAGAATTGGTTATTTTAAAAATTAGAGTTATTAAAAAAATAAGTTGGCTGAACTAACATAATGAAAATTATACTGTTGTTGCATATTAGAATCTGTAATTCTATATTTAAAAGTATTTGTATTTAAAAAAAAAATTAAAATGTAAAGGTTAAGGAAAGCTTACCAGCACAACATTGTTCGACTTCATTGACGTTGTTTATGTGGTATAGAGAGACAGATTTTTGAGATTGCACCATCATCTCAAAACCTCTCCTCTTACGGTTCTTTTTGAGTACTATAGTTATCCAATAGGAATATATGCTGATGTCACCAGAAATATCTCATATTCAAGGCCATGTATTGGCACGTATATTGCAGCCAGAAACAGTACTTACATTTACAATGTGGAATTTTTGTTTTTAAAAAAAAAAAACCCCCAATTTTTTAAGAGTAATTTGTTCTTATTATTGCATAATATTGTAGTTCAGTAAGAGTGTACATTAATTCCATCCATATTTATTGTGTGTTTGGCCAAAAACCTAGTTGTCAGTTTGTGAAGCAAGATCACGCTAAAATTTAAGAGATGCTTTTGAGAAATCACAGTAGTGTGCTGGTTAACTTTTCCTAGCGTGGTCGTACCACAGTTAATCATATTGTGATTCTTTAAACCTGTGAAGTGTATATTTTGTAAAAATTTCTTTAACTGTTGGTTCTGAGAGTTTGTTATATAAAAAATAACGCTACTTTACATTGCTGATGTTACTGATATTATTCAGCCTTCATCAGGGCTACATAATAAATAATATCTTTTTTCAGGAGTATGTCATTGACCAGTTTACAATCATAGAAAACCATTATTAAATAATTATTATTCAAAAAGTTTAATTTAAATTTATACAGCTCTCCTGTAAGTTATAAAAAATTTAGTAGGGGTTTTTCCCCAAATTTTTTCTGGGGGGCATTATTATAACCTTTTAAAACTGTTTAAACCTTTGCAAACTTGGCTAGGGTTCACATTTATTTATTTTATATATTATCTTTTTATTTTTGTTAAATGCAGTTCACATGTTTATATCATTTTATATCGAATGCTTGTGTTTATATTATAATGGTATCATATTTTGATGCATACATTAATATCAGTAACTTGTAGTTTACTTCACGTAAATATTTCCGTTATAGTTCTTATTAAACTTAAGCTTGATCCACGAATATCATAAAAAGATATTTGTTAATGAAATAAAAACTTTTAAGTTATGATTTATTTTTATTTTAAATGTTTGAATGACTTGTGTTTCTGTCAAAAAACCTCTGCACCCGACATAGTCTTCTAATGTCAATGAATATGACGGGACCC